GTATTTTAAATGAATGAATCTTACAGTAGCGATCCACTTTCCTTTCAGTATACTGTAAATTTCACTAGCAGGACTGCATCGGTACCCTCGTCGTGAATCAAAGACAGGACAGCAGGACCCCAAAATTAAGAACTAACGAGATATTTTCACAATATTCTATTACATTACACTTCACACCAATGATTGCAATTCCCAACAGTCGTTAAACAGTATTTTTGAATTGTACAAACGATCCGGCGCGGACTGTACTGTATGTTAAATGTGCACCGCTCACCCTTCCCCGTCGCTTTCAGAGCAGGGTGGATTGGGGGGAATGCAAAGAACTTCGAAGATCATGTGGGGAAAAAAATAAAAGTAAAGATGTACGTATTTTTAGGCTCGAAGAGAAAAAAAAACCCGATAGGTTAAACTTTGTTATATCACTAAGGTGAGTAAACAGCGGGCGCCCTGTAAACTGGAAATTCAACGGAATGAAATCTGCTCCCTTCTCGATAATCTTTGTCAACCAGATGGCGGTGGATTTGGTAGGTTTTTCAGGGTCCAGCGCCAGTGGTTGTTTGGGGCTTGGCTCTGGGCTCCGAGCCTTGGTCAAACTATTTTTAAAGTAGCTTCGGCTTTGATACGGTTCGGGGGAGAGAGGCGCGGAGATATATAGAAGCAAATCTCACGAACGTGCATTCGCTCAAGGGGGCTGGTATAATGAGGGATTTTAACACCCACCCTGGGATGGAAACGCGGATAGGCAGAGTGCAGGGTGTGTGCGCAGGGCGTGGGCTTGAGCAGACTATATTTGTAATGAAGGACACGATCGACTTGAATAGCTGTCTCCAGATTTTGGGTAGCTTCTTTGCGTGTTGTAAGAATTAAAAAAAAAATATCCGTTAACTAATGTGAAACTTCTAAGACTCTCAATGCTTCTACTCTCATTAGGAACTAAGCTGAGATGAAAACATGATCATTACAAGTGTTAGATCTCTGAAACTACTGCAGCTCTGGAGTATTCATGTCAGCCTCCTGAAGAATATATATAATAATAGAACACAGGTAAATGTGAAAAGTTACATCCAATACCAGTTAAAAATACTAGAAAACGTGCAGTTATATGCCATAAATTACACAGTAAGAAAAAGTACAGAACTTGAAGTATCAGTTTTTTAACTGACCTGCCTGTGTACCCCTATGGAGATAAGGGCTCTGTACTGTATGCATCTAAAAGGCTCTAAAATAACCAGTAAAGACAAGATTTTAAGTGGCTCGGTGGATGTGTTGCTAAAGTATCGCCTTATTTAGCAAGATCCTGTGTGAAGTCAGTGGCAAATGAAACCCTCTTCGGCCACAAGCTTGCGGAGAGCCCATCACAAAAGAACAAAATGAGGCAGAAAAAGGCTGTTGCCGGTCTGTATGATAAAGTAACGTGCAGCAGAATTTGTAGCACTTTTCGACATAGTAAAAACTGTTCAGTCTTGCAGGTGATGATGTTGGAGCTGTCTTCAGGTGATATTCTGGTCTCAGCACAGTGCTTATCGAGGGTCAGTTTGATGTGGACATATGGAAAATGATACTTAGACTTGCTTCAATTTGCTTGAGCACCACCAGAGGAAATAAAAACAAAGACAAACGAAAAGCACTGGCTAAGAAGATGCTGCATTTTCTAACGTGCAATCCAAACACTAAATTGCGTAAGAAATTCTTGTGTCTGAAAACAGCCCACGGCACTTGATCACCCTTAATTCCTTCCTGACGAGCTTCGTGGTGATATGTGTGCATATCAACATCCCAGTACACTCCTGAAAAGCAGAAGGCTGTATTTGCATGACAAGTTACTTTTGACACAGATGTGGCATGTGACTGTGTGCAGTCCCTCAACATTTGCTACTTCTAATATCTGAGAGCTGGGGGTCCTTAGGTGTTGAATGGGCTTTAATAAAACCATTCCATTATCCATCCATCCTCTTGAAATTGACATCCTCATAAACAAGACCTCAGTCATTGTGACTGGCTAACAGTTTTGCCACGATCTATATGAATGCATTAATGAAGTTAAGGTCATGCCAAATGGTATGCTTATGCAGATTCAATGCATCAACGTAAATCGCAACACAAATAGAATCCAAACTGCAATGGGATATTTTTCTGTGTATTTGAACTTTTTCCTTTCTTCTTCTGAGTTGGAATTGAACACTGGAATGTGTGCTGAATTACTGAACGGCTTCTCAAAGGTGTGCCTTGCGACTCTGCCTTCAGCATTACTGTAAAAGTAGCAAAGTCTAGACTGCCGCAGTGTATAAAAAGCCTTGAGGATAGCGCTAATTGTTTAATTCCACCTCGGTTTCCATGCAGCGCGCCTGTCGTATCGTGTTGCTATTTATATGGGTGTGCTCAGAGACAGCTGCTGGGGGTGTTAGGAGGAGAGCGGCTCTTGAGCCTGGAAAAGCACGTAAATTCTGCACAGGAGCTGTGATTCATCATTTCGGGAACATATAAAAGTCTTTCTTTTCCACTGGGGTAGAGGGCGCCAGGTGGCACAGTCATTCCATCTCTCCCTGGTCCTGCCACGCTAATTCGCTGCCAGTAAGGGGACTGGCTGACCCCTGTGTGGTGTGATGGATAGACGAGAAGGGCGTTTGGTGGCCGTAGATTCAAAAACAAATGCCTGTATGTTTTTTTTTATCTTCAGCAACGTTTTTTTTATCATGAAAGTCGCTTTTTCTCATTACTAAGGAATCGCGATTCCCACACTAAGACTGGCAGCGGTGTGTATCTGTTGGCACAAATATCATCCGCCACGGTCGTCGAAACTGTAGTGGACCACCTAAAGCTCCCAGAGATCCTGCATCTCCAGCACCACCACAGTCTGCCATCTTTTCATGACTCCTTTTAGCCACGAACAGCTCAGGACCTGCTGCAAATAGGGAAATTGGTCCAATTAAACTTTGTCTTTGTCAATTTAACCCTTTTATTCCGTTTTCTATTGCCGGCTGCTGTCCTAAAAGGCTAGAAGCCTGTTGGATGTGTGGGGCTCATTGGAAGAAACTACTGTATGGCAGGAGCTCCCAGTCATGGTTCTGGACACTCAGACTCAGCTGAGATCTGAACTTAACATGACCCTAAATCGAGCTGCCATTTTTTTTTTCAGTCTGAGAGCTGGATATCATAGGTTCCTTATGAAACAGTTCAGTTCGGTTTGAATGTTAAAATTTGCCCCCAGAGAACTTTGTTTACGCATCTGTTTAACACAGCAAAGTTCAGTAACAACCAGCCAACAGAGGGGTCAGCACAAACCATATTTCAGGCACATGTACTGCGGCAGTTGTTCCCAATTAAAAGACATAGTCAGTCAGCGACATTCGAAAGTGAAAATGCAGCAGGGAAGACGATAAGCTAGATTTTTTACTGTTACCCAGAGGGGACCAGTGCAGATTCCCACTGGAGGAGGTGAGCTACTCCATCCCTTAATTCTTTGCTTGTAGACAACATATAGGATGGTCTAATATGTCCCACTGATTTTGTTAAAGGGTCCCCTTCAATATGTTTAAAAAAAACTGTCAAGCAATTAAAGAGTTGAATGGTCGAGCTGTGAGCTCAACAGGAACACACCAGCAGGTGTGAGGGATCGGGGAACTGTGAACTAGGGTACCTACAGTATGATATACAGTACTGTAATGTACACCGGTGTTTCCCTTTCTTAAGCTCTTGTGTCTTATTGTTTCATTCCTGCTGAGCTCTTGAATCTTTAACTGAACTATTTTTAAAACTAGTTTGAGCTCTTAAATTGCAGGTGTTATTTCGGAACTAGAATGAACTGTTACAGAGCTCCTCTCACTGTTTAAGTGGCTGGGAGGAATTTAAACCGTGAAACTAGGAATCACGGGGAACGTGTACTGCAGAGCTGTTTGAGGTAGTGTCTAGCAATACTACCTGATAATGAATCAGGGGAAGTTTAGATATCTAAGAGCGGGCAAGATTTGAAACCAAGCCAAAACAGATTTGGAATGAATATGGTTTACTTTCTTGGAAAAATGCATATGAATGGGATTGTTTTGGAAAGGTGATTTGATGAGAAAACTCTGTCACTGAAGTTGGGAGCCATCTCACAAAACAAGGTTTGTTATTACACGTTATCATTGGCTCCTGGTATGTACTTTCCTATCCAGCCTCAAAATCAATATTTATAATGACATCTGTCATTGCAAAACTAGATAATATTATTTTCTTTACATCACCTTTCTGTTTCTTTTATGTCCTGTTCCTGACTACTTTTATCTTCTGGACCATTTGTTACTATTTCGAAGCCACAGCAATACCAGAAATGCGGTATTTAAACATATTACTTACAGGCAAGGGAATATGCCCTCCTCCCCAATCTACAGCCAGAGAATTAGTGTCAGTCTTGTGGGTGGGCAGCTGTGTCAGGCCCTGTATTACAGTATATAGAAATCAGAGCAACCAGATACCTCCAACATCTCTGTTTCTGTTGTGACTGAAACTGTGTTATTTGTTAGTCATGGCTGCTTGCCTTGATTTGGAAGTTAATGTTTTTTTCCAAAATTGAAACGTACATACAGAAAAGTAAATACGTTTCTTCTTAAGAAGCGAGCTCCTCTCGTTTGCCGAGAGAGGTGGTACATTTAGATAACGTGATAATGTCGCCCTGATACCTGTAATGAATGCCTTTTGTGTTGGTATGACTTGAAGAAACTATACTTTTTGTACATCTCTCCGTAGAAATGCGTGTTAATAACTGGACTACAGTATTAAAATAACATAAAACTTGTTCTACCTTAATGTTTTGACACGTTTAGGTTTTGAAGGGTCTGTCACGACGTCAGTGATGAAGGGACAACAGAGAAAGCTACAGAATTTGAATCCAATAACGTTTAGAAGGAGAGCAGTTCTTGTAGTTCGGTTTTTTCAGAAACAAAATGTTTATCTTGAAATCTTGTCAGCGCAGTGGACAAGCACTGCTTTCTTGCTTTTTGACGCCCCCTTAGAAAAGCTGACACAGTTAAAATTTTTGTTATTATTGTTCGAAAGCTTGACATAAAAAGATACATCGCCGCAAAAGGTACATGAACACGGTAGACAAATGCCACGTGAAGCAGAGAAAATACGCGTGGAAAATGTTTGTGTCGAGTTAGAGCGTGAAAGCGTGTGTGTGTGTGCTTGTCTCCGGAGACGGGATGGGTCGAAGTTGAAGAGTAGGAGTTCACACATCTGGCGTCACAGATTCCACAGCAGGCATCACAGGAAACTGCAGCTAAACTTGCGTGTCAGTCCGCAGTCGGTGAACACGCAGCTTCTGCTGGGAATACCGTACTGTTCAGCTCCGGATGATCACCGACATGCTTTGCATAATATCTTAATTACTAATTAATGCAACCACATTAAAAACAAAGCCAACAGGGCTTTAAGCGGTACAAAGGCAATGCAACTACACTATCTTAAAGAGTGAATCGGTCTCTGACAGCACAGGCGCCCTGAGAAATGCAGTTAAGGAGCACTTTTATAATCTTGTTCTTTTAGAACTTTTTGAGCGGATTCCTTTACGGTGGTTTTTAAACACAATCGGAAGCTGTTGCTTTAAATCCCGGCAAAAACAATCCAGTCTCTCGCGCCACACCTCTTCCTTAGATCCAGGCAGCAACTGCACCGGCACGTGACGGAGCCGCATGCGGCCGGCGGGCCGGCCCCCTCTCCAACACCATTGGGCAACCGCAGACGGCGGCGCCCCGTGATTGGGCTACACCGACGCCCATCAACTAAAGACGACCCTATTGTTGCCGTAGTCTTGGCCAATGACGTCAATGGTATCTAAGGGGCTAGCGCCAGCCAAAAACACAACTACATTGCTTGGGAAAAGGCAACCTTTCTATAAAAAAAATATTAACGAGTTAAAAATGTCCACTTACAGGTGCCAATCAGAAATCGGCTGGAATTTATGGCATCATTGATTTTGAATTTGGTACTTCCTAAAGGATAAAGTTTAGAGTATAACTATTATACGCGTAAACTTGGCTGCCTCACAGAATACTCCTTTTAGTTTTGACGTCACTGACAGCGGGGAGAGTTTTTAATTTCTGCACTTTTACAAATCATTGGCAATAGTCCCTCACTTCCAAGCGCAACCCCCCCTCCTCCGCCTCCTCCCAGACTCCACACAATTTTATCGCCCATAAAATGTAATAAATCTCAAACAGGAAAAAGAAATAGAGCTACGACCAACAACAATGCACAGAAGCTAACTCCATCGGACACGCCTTTTAAAACACTTTTAATGACGAGGCGGGGGGGAGTGACGGGCAAGTTGTGGGTTACAGTCTTTTTAAAAAATAAATAAAATAAAGGAAGAGCCATCTATACCTATCTCCCTCAAAATATACACGTATCTTGAAATTCCGAAAAGGCAGGAAGGGCTGAGTTTGGCTCCGGCTGCGCTGTCCGGCAGATAGGAGGGAGGAGCCAGCCTGTGACAAGAGGCTGGTTCTCCGGAGTTTGTCAGTTTCCTAAAAATAGCAGCCGTGTATCAATGTGAGTGCGAGTCCGTTTATGTCACACTGTATCTATTAGAGCCATTGATACGGTGTATCTATATCCAGTCAGGGACTGGGGAGAAAAGGGTGAGTAGCAAAAAATAGCAACAATATTACCACACGGGGGGACGGGGGAGAGGGGGAGAGAGGGAGGGAGGGACGGAGGAAGGGAGAGCGGAGAGTGGAGAGTGGAGAGGGGGCAGAGCAGGCTAAGACACCCAGCAGTGCACCGTCTTGATCGGCTACCCGGGGGCGACGAGCGAAAGCGGGAGAAAAGCACCGAGCTGTGCACCGGGCTGGCCGGGGGAAATAACGGTCATCGAACCCTTCGCCGGTTTAAAATGCCCGTCGGGGGACGCGCGACCTCTGACGGAGTGGTGTAGGGAGCTCGCTCGGGCGGCAGAGCGGCGGCGGGGGGGGTGGAGTTGACAGCCCGAGCTGGTGGATGCGCGCAGCTCGGCTGTGCATGTCTCACGGATCGTGTCTTCAGCAAAACAACAACAACAAGAACAACAACAACAACAAAAAAGAACAAGAAAATAAAAAAATAGCAGTTTTTCTTTTGTAACAGACAGGCGTGAGGGGGCACAAACCCAAAACTAAACACCCCACGGAGGAACGAGCCGTGTTTTCTCCGAGGTACGTGGTCTTTGATGAGCTTTTCCTTAAGAAATAAAATAAAAGTTGGGCTGGTGGTGGAGACGGACGCTGTGTTTGCGCGATCGGGGCTGCACGGAGAGATGCTGTCAGCGCTTACTTGAACTTCATTTTCCCATGCAGTTCACTTGCTGCTGTCCTGCCCTGGGATAATCACTCTCGGTACTGTGGGACCATATCCAGGGATGATTTTCCTACACGCTGAGTTCACGGCACCGGTATGTTTTGTACCAGATAGGGCAATTGAGCTTTAAAATAAAAAAGAAAGATATGTGCACTCGTCATCTTCCAAGATTCCCGTGACAGCTCAGTGTTGTTTTGTTGGGAAGTATAACCAAACTACACTGTGATCTTAGCATGGCGGAAAATTGTCCATAGATATTTCTGCAAATCTCATCTTTGATTCAGGACCGGCGGTCGCAATGTGAGCCAGTTTGTCGCTTGTTGACCGCAAGACTTGCAAGAAGAAGCGTACCGTGTACTGTATTGTAAATCCAGACGCAGGTGTAAATGCAAGACGACAGCAGTCGGAACTAGTGAACAGAACTTTTTGTTTTAAACTTTGTTAATAGGCATTTTAACGCCTGGTGGTACTGCAGTGAGTTAAGATGAAGGGCTGGCGTCTGCATGTTAAGATGATAAAATGATACAAAAAGGTCTGATGCTTCCTGTTCTTGTCTCGAGAAGAAAAGTCTCCGATGGTTGACGCATTCACTAACATTTTATAGTCCCTATAGCTCATGGACTGGGAAAAAATTTCGTGATTTGTTTACATTGCTTTAAACGTTGACGTTTTATTCTTGGAGGCACTGAGGTCCACACCGCGCCACCCGAAATCACCGGCCTTGACGGCGCCGAGTAGCCGCTTCTGTGCGGACTGATCGACTAAAGTTTCTTTCGAAAATACCCACGGCATAAATAAAGAGGGTTTGTGTCGTATTAGTCTAAATCACCTCAGGCTGGCTTTGATTAGAAAACGTCGGAAAATACCATTTGCATTGTAACAGTATTCGAAGCATAATGCTCGAGCTGGAAATATTAGCATGTGCGTGTTGTGCAGATCATGAACTAATGTTGTACATGTCGTACCTGTATCACGCTTAGCTAACCGAACTGAGAAGAATCTGTTGCATGTTCGTGTGACTTGCCCAGCTCGCTGAAAGATATTGATAGGTTTGTCAGCGGAAGGTTCCTAATACTTTCTTTCTCCAGTTATCTCAGATTATCTGAAACTCTTAGTGGCTGGTTTTAAAATATATCTTTAAACCTATCCAGTTACCATGGTATGCAGTGATAAATATCAAAATCTCTCTATATATGAGTGTATTGTAGGGCTTACTGTACATAAAACGCAATGACAGGTAGTATTACTGTATCATGGTAATTATCATATTACTGTATCGTGGCAAACCTTGGCAAATCCAGTTGTAAAATACAATTGCAGTGCTACAATGGCTATGAAGAATCACCGTATTATTTATGTCATTACGATCGCGTTTAATTTTTCCGACCTGCTTATCATTGTACTGCTTCCTTGCCTAATTTACCTTCCTACACCAAAATCTATAGCCCTCAGCTGTGAAATTGACAGTTCTGTTTCCAGAACTGAAAGCGAGTCCAAAGCAAATGATGGGAAAATTAGCAAGTGTGTCCCCCATACACGCCTCGGTTCCTGCCTTCGCGGGTTGTCTTCTGTGAAAACATTACCCGCTTGTCTGTTGGCTCTCCCCCTGGGACTTTGATACAGACTGCGCCTGTGTGGGTGACACCTGCGTTTTCTGTATTGTGACTACCTGTATGTACAGATATCTCAAAGGTAATATATGAGTCCTTCATGGTTCTTTAGTGCCTGACACGGTGGCAGATAACTATTCCTGTCTGTCTAATGAGAAATGTCTATTCCAAAAAGTACAGACAGTAGAGATACACACAGAGACAGACCGACTCGCAAAACCAAACACTGAATTCCTTATTAAATTTGACCCGGACTGAGTGACTGGGGCCCTTTGTTAGAGCTATTGCTTATGAGCTCCTTGTGAAGTTCGCCTTCCGAGTTCTCAAGCGCTCTCTGCTACTTGTGGAATAGAGCTGCTTAATACAGTATAGCGTGCGGAGAAAGAGCTAACCTGGTATTAAAATTCATTAAGAATTTTTTGGCCGCCAAGACCCTTCTGTGCGACTTCGTAATTTTGCGTGTGTGCAGTTATTATTATTGGATTCAGATATGAGAATTGTATTTGAATCGGTCGTGCAGTAATACCATTTTTTTTGCTTTAAAAGTGTGGTCGGATTCAGAGCGCCGTGTTCTTGTGTAGATCTTGGCTGCAGCAGACTCTTAAGGGATATACACTAGTCAGCACATGGCTGCACTAAAATATTATCCACTTTCCTGCAGAAGCACGGAATTGCACAGTGCATGATAGAGAAAGTTAATAGTCACTCATAGAGTAAGTTGTTTTTAACTGCTCGCAGCATGACATGAGTCACGTTTTAGACACCCAGCTTGGAGTCACTAAATGATTTACAGTTTCTGATGTATTTAAACCTCTGGCTTCTGAAGCTGGAAATGGGTTTCATCTACCTGAAACAGAAATTATGAGTTGTGCTATAGAGCTGCGGTGCACCTTGAGTCTCACTTCCACCAAAACGCAGGTCCTGGAAGGGGCTGTTAGTGGGTGACTGATGGGTGTCCTCTGGAGTGGAAAATGACTGGCAGGAAGGCCTTCCGGCAGGCTATGGGTGTTCAGATCTTTACTATGGAAGCTTACTACCGTGTGACTTCTGATACAATTTGTTCAATTGTGATATCATTGTGCATAAGCTGTCTGTAGCATGTCACCTGTCTGTGCGATGTACTGTAACAAACCGCTGTCTTGGAAAAGAGACAGTTTGGAGGGCCTCATGAGGAGTTTGTTTTATCCCATTTCAACAAATGCCGTTAGAAGCATAAAAATAAAAATATACACAATTTGGCACAGTAGCCGTTTACCGAGAATGAAGCTTTCAGAAGCACAGCAGAGCCGGAATACAGGCCCGATACAGGCCTGAATCACACGGGAGTCTTTGACTCATCTGGCATTCACAGAGTACAAACACAGAGCCTGATTTTCCTTGTGTTGCTGGCCAGAGGGGTCCTAGTTCTACATGATGTGAATTTGCTCTGGAGTACTGAGGACTATTTCCAGCTGGTAGTGGGTCAGTTGGTTAAGAACTGTCCCAAGCCTTAGTTCACTAAATGAGTCACTACACCTAGCTTGGGGAAGATGATACAGAAGATTTGTCAGTCTTCCTGTATGCAGACCCTAGAACTGAGCATTCAGAACTGCGGAAAGCACACGTGTATATACCTGTAGACCAATGTTTATTTGATTTAGTGTTGTCCTTTCCATAGAAAATGTATAATTGTACAATTGGCATTTTTAGCATTGCGCAGGGTGTGTATGTAAGTACATTGTGTCATGTTCTGTTTGCTGGGCCTAAGTAGAAAATGAAAAGCCTTTCACTGATTAGCATAGATATTAGAGGTAATTGGGAAGAAGGGGGGCTAAATGGTCTTTACCACGTCTGGTCTCTGCTAGTTTCTGGTCACTTTGTTCAGACTGTCAGACAGTGTGGGTTTCTGTAAATGTTGAAGAGCAATCCCTTTTACTGAGACAGACAAGTAAAGTAAGAAATACTGTAGTGTATATTATTTTTGGAGTGTAAAGAGGGGGCTTGCAGTGGATTTCTTCAGCCTGCCGGAATATCGACACCTAGGTAATAATGTATTACTCACATCGGCGTCCCATTTTTATTGGATACATTCTGTCCTGTTGGCAGCTCCTAAGATGGTGAACATGCAAAGGATAACAGGGATCCTTATGAAAGGTGCCGTTTTGCACGTTTCCCTCTGAGTTCTTTTTCAAATACTAGCTTGATGCTGTGTGTGTCTCATCTTATAGACACCCCTTCGCTGTCCAATGCATCACGCAAGAATTAAACACTAGAAGTGGGGTGCTGTTTTTCCCCTTTTTTAATAAAAGGAGTCCAGACTGTCCTGAGGGTTTTCTTGCTCTCACTGCTGTTTGAGGTTTTCTTTTCTTCCCTCATCACACTGATGCAGATTGTTCTCAGTGCTGGCCTTGCTTAAACTGGCCTTATGTTGTGGCGGGCATAAATAAAATTAAAACTCGTGAGCGGCATCGTCCAAACCAGACGAAAAACTGCCTCTGGTTTAATAGACTCCTCATTATTCGAATGTCTGGGTGCACAGAGAAGGCCTTTGATCGGTTTCTCAAAAAGTGTGCCAGTGACCAACAAAAACAGCGTTATCTCAGGCTTCAGTTCAGGCGTCCATAAGGAATGCGTGAATTTTTTTCCCCTTTAGCATTAGAGCTAATGGTGCAGAGCGTATGGCCATGGAACAGTGGTAAATTGAGCTGGGCCCAGTCGCTGCGGTGCGGTTCAGTGTTGTGTGAGGGCTGAAGAGCTCTGGCTCCGATTCTTGATTCATGCGTTAACACAGTTACTCCACTCAGGTATGTAGAATTAGCATGCCCGTTAACAGTGAGCGAGAGCAGTTGTAATATTATTAAGTACTATGATTAGCAGTGCATAAAGTGCTTTTTTTGGTTATATACTTTGTGCTGTAATACAGGAACAGATGTATACCCTATTTTTCATGTAACAGATTACACCTTTTATGTAGATATTCAGAGGATAAATTAAAATCTAAATATTTAAAATACCATTAAGTTCGCTACAGGGGCAGGAATTCGGATTTAAACATGCTAACATAGTCATCTACAGTATGATACAGCAACTCGGCAGATATCCCATAGAGATCCCATAGACCTTGAATGTTATTAAGATTCTGTCTCAAACAGTATGTGCGCATGATACATTGTGTTGGTTATGGATTAGGACATTTTATTCTCTCTCACAAAGGACTGCATGGTGATCTTTTACTATATTTTGTTTTCTGTATTACTTTTTTCCTTGTA